TACGTAATAAAGCTACCAAAATCTAATTCCATGCTTTTGTACACCAAGGAAAATTCACCTTTCCCGTGGATTCCTTTATTCCTGAGACTCGCGAGTACACCTACTGATGCACCTGCGGTCAAAAGAACTGCCAGGTCGCTCGATAAATATCTTTCGCCAGGAGCCACGTTTTACGAGAAGACGGCATCCACTGGTTGTTTCCTCCGAGCAAAAGCTCTCCGCTGAAGCGAAAGCGGCGCTAATTTTCCGACGACTTTGTCCCGTGCTTTCGCCCGGCTCGAGATTTACAACGCCGTACGTCGAGTTTTGCCCTTACCCGGCCGCAGTAAAACAGAACAGAGGGCTTCGCGGAGCACGGCCCCTTAAAGTAGTTCCGGAATTCAATTTTGAGAATTAAATTTAAGCTGCACTTTGAATTATATCGTACTGTAATAAAGCCCGACTGTAATATACCGCGGCGCGACATGGCAAGATCGAGAACTTTGAAAGAATGACGTGTACAGAGTATTTTGAAAACGTTTCGATGATCCGGATTCAATTCGTAGTAACAATATGGGAATTTGACCGAAGTGTACAAATTATCGATGAATTAGTAACTAGTAAATTGAAAAGGAAATTTTAAAGCTCAGAGATGCATAGAATGCACATAATGGGCAAAAAAATATGTGAAATACGAGAGTATTATTATTATGATCTGTTATGATATTTAGTAGGTAAAACAAACTATCTAGATTCCACTTTTTTTAATGATATTTATATAAATATGAATTTGTACAAGTATGCGCATTCTAATTACCAATTAGAAGTAATTCTTGATGAATATTTTCATAAATTCTGGAGGAACACATAGTCACGCCTAATCTGTGAAGATGGTAATGTCATAAGAATTGCAAAATACTTTAGACAATTATTATTTATTGAATCGTTTAATAACAATTATAGAAAAATATAATAAAAAGGATATATTGCAACTGGTATGTCCTTATGAAGATATTACTAATTCATGTTTGTGTAATAATTTAATAAGACTGTTATAGAAACTTATATAATGAAAGAATATATTAACGCTAATATAAAATATATACGTATTATCCGTTTAAAGCATTTTATAAATAGAGTAAATTCCTATATTTCAGATCAAACAGTTATTGTTCAAAGATATCTGAACGATCGTGATACGCTTCGTCGCGAGAGTTGCTGCACGTGAACTAGCTAGAAAATCAAACATTTGAAGAATTAAACGAAAGTCTACAAACTTCAAGTATACTTTTTAAATTAACCGAAGCAAACAAGATAACCAACCGCCTCACAAAATCGCATTAAAGAAAGCGAAGAAAAGAGGAATGGGAAGTAAACGAGTTGAAGAGTTCAGCTTTTTCAGCGAAACTTTAAAATTTGTTATCGCACGGATCCCTCTTTTTCTTAAATGTCTTCTTTATCATCAAATTTGTTATTTTCTATATTATTAATTTATGATAAAACGTGCAACATTGTTCGCAAGTACATATTATTATAGTATAAAGAAGAAGTAAAAAGATGAAAGAAGAGTACTTCGGAAGATTAGTTGTTTGAAAGCTTTTATTCTGAAGCGGAAATTGTGAAAGGTAGGAAACAATTTTTCAATGAGAAAAAGGAGTGGACGTCCATTAGATTTAATAGTTGGAAACATTTATGGAATGATCAACTTGTTAATGAATTAAAACCTAATATTTTTCATTATTTTACATACTATAAATTGAGATCAATGTAAAAAAATCTGATTTTTATATAAACTTTATAATTTGAATACTATGACTTGCTTGGTTCATGAATTCTGTAATTTTTAGATAAAATATAAAAAATACAGTAGTCTGTGTGTTTTAGTTTTCATTTTACCCGAACTTTGCCAACAGATTTTAGGAAAATACATATTAATGTTCTTCCACATTTCATCAATTACGTTCGTTAAGATAACAAGTTTCTGAATTTGTAAATAATATTCTTCAAATTATAGCGTAGAACGTAGAAAGATTTTAACGATTGTAACATAATATTTAATGTTTAAATGTAAATAAAATAAAGGTAAAATGTAAGATGTTCCATCATTAATTTGAAAACATGAAATGGTATACATAATGAAAGATTCATAATATTTTGGATCTCCTTTAATTCACGAGATAAATTATATATTTGATAATTTTTTTTATGCTACTTCTATGTACAATAAATCTAAAATCTGTTCAAGTTTGCCACTGGATTTCACAGATTTCAATTCCATTTTTCATTCTTCATCTTTGCCAGATTAAGATTAACAACGTCAACACGATAACAAGTAGATAAAAAGAATTACATCGTCGTAAAAGCAGAATAAACGGAGCTTTCCTCTCTGCGATTCGTTCCTCCTCTCATTTTTCCCTCTGAGAAAGTAGATAAGCTGCTTTAATAAAACAATGGTATACATGTAACGAACAACACGGTGAATATTTTTAAAACCTAAGTTACATTACGAGATACTTTTCCAAGATTTGAAACTTAACCCAGAAAAGCTTCACAATCCTTATCTTCAAGCAGCTTACTCGAAACTTTATTCTACATCTTCAACGTCAATGAAAGGGTCTTTCTTCGTTATAATAAGATATAAAAAGTTATGGATTCTTTTATATAACAAGATTGTCGAGATTAAATCAATTGAAATCGAAGATATGAAATTCAGGATCAAGAGTTGAACATTCAGATCTTTCGTTAATGTCAGAAAATTGATAATAACGTTAAAAGAAAAAGATTCTTCCAGAGAAATAAAGCACAAGGAGGAAATTGTTGGAGAATCTTACGCATGGAAAAACGACGAGAAGAGAAATTATCGAACGAAAGAGTCGTTATTCCTAGCAATAAATTATTTAATTTCTTAGATAAAAAAATAAGCCAACTATTCTCTTACGTAACAAGATTTTAGCTGTTAAACCAATTAAACTTGAAAATATCAAATTTATAAATATCAAATATCAATAGTTTAGAGTGCAGATCTTTCTATCAAATAATGCTAGAAATATTAAAACAACAAATAATTCTACTCAATAATCTCAAAAACAAAATAACAACTCTTATAGAAAAAAATGCTCATATTTCTATTTTTCTTATAGAGGAAGCTCTTGTCCTTATTCCAGGAAATCATTGGAAAATTCTTCCATAGCCGCAAAGAAATTGACGAAAAAGGACAAATGCTGGCCAGAAGCAAAAAACCGTATCTCGGTCGAACCTGTTTTCGCGCTTTTTTTCCCAAACAAATTGTTCGATCGTCCAGCTCACTGATGGTCGTACCTTAAATTTCCGTTGTCATCGAGGATTCGAAACGCTCTGTAAATCACCCTTTCGCTACCGGCGAGAAAGAAGAGGCGGAGAAAAATTCCGAAGGAACGCCCTTCTTTTCGTTCCAAAGGAACGAGAGCTTTCTATCGTCTTCTTCTCTTCGTTTCTCACGACCTCCCTTCGTCTTGTGTCCCCCCATTTTCCCTCGATTCGCGAGGAAACCTTACGCCATATATCAACGGATTCGTCGAGACGACCGTGTATCGAATTTTCTCAGCAGAAAAGTCCAACGTCGAGACGAATTCTTTCCTCGACGAACGAAAAGATTCCGAAGCATCGAGAGATCCGTTGTGACAGATCGCGTTCGCCACGTCATGAAAGTGTTGAAACACGATCTACCCCTCGGGCCAATTTTCCTGGATATCGTTGCTTCGAATTCCGCTTCGTTGGTGCACGTACAGCCTTCGGTTTAAAAGTTTCGTTTATTCAGTTAACGTTCGTTTCGGTTGGAATTTAGTTACGTTTCTTTGGTGTGAGTACAAACGGAAGTTGGTATTGTTCGAGTGGTCGATGGAACGAGTCGTGTTCATCTGAAATGATATCTTGATGCATTGGTTGGGTCGTTGTTACTTGCGTCTAGGTTTTGATATATCCGATATGTTTGAGATTAATCGTGTAACTTGTGTCGATTCTGTCTGTTTCAATTGAAAATATTATCTGTGTGTTTAACGATTCGCGAGAGACGAGTAGTAGTGACTCGACGAGCGGAATGGAAGTGGATAGAAATATTACACTTTAATGGGAAATCTCTTATCGATGGGTTTGTCTGATCGGAATGACCAATTCGTAACTTTTTATGGAAATTTTGCACATTTACTACGGTACAATCGAGGTATTTTTATGATCTTGAAAAAATAGTATTTTCTAGATCGTTCGTTCTGAATTCTTCACGATTTTTCATTACATTGTCAAAATCAATTAATTGTCAAAATTAAATTGTCAACATTTTAATGCGATTAGTTTGTCCGAAAAGTGTCTTTCTTTTACAGACACGTGTTTTACTACGATGCATCTTGATACAAACGTGAAACCTAATTTGTCGAACGTTGTGGTCTTTATTTTGATAGAAGAAAATGGATCATACGTAATTCGATAAAATAATATAAAACGGAAAATATTGTGCATCCGTTATTTCCTTATAAAACGAAAGAAACTTTTCGGACGACCTAATACATTTAATCTTACATACCCTGCCCATAAATCTATCTATTCGACCGAAATCTCGTTCTCGAAATAATCACAACTTCGACATCTTCCTTGAAAACCGTTCTCGCTGCGAAATTTCATCGTTCGACTGGGAAACAAAAAGTTAAGCAGAGTTGAGCGAACTAGCCAGCCAACTTCATCACCGAAGCACCGTTTCCACGACTACATTTTACGAAATCACTGGTCCCAGCAGATGTTCTTTAATACCCCAATATATTCCTCCTATTGTCGAAACTTTCTCTTGCTCCATCGATTCCAACGTCGTTCCTCCGAGTCTCTGAATCATCGGTCGACTCGCTTGGAGCTTGGCGATTCCTCGCGCGAAAATCACCAATCACGTTTATTGAATTCTTAATGTCAGAATTTTTTCAAACGAAATACCAGCAACTTTAACCAAATTATATACTGGTAGAGGAATGCAAATTAATAGAAATGAAAGAAAAAGCATTAAAAAGAGCAGCAAGGTACGAAAGCCCTAGAATCGAAAAAGGAATTAGTAAAGGAGTGCATAAAGGAAAGAGAGAGAGAGAGAGAGAGAGAGAGAATGGGGGAATGGTCAGGAAGGGAAAAGAGCAAAAAAGAGAAAGAAGGGACTAGAAGAGGTGAGAAAAGGAGGGACGCAGATGAAAACAGGAGAGGAGCAAGAAAGGATGACAGCGGACCAAATTATAGAAGAAAGAAGAAAGAGAGAAGCAGAAGAGAGGGGGGAAAGGATAAGGGAATGCAAGTATAATATACACTACAGAAACATAGCCAAAGAAAAATTACCAAAGTACTTAGAAGGGAGGATGAAGTGGAAGGACGGAAGAATACTAGCAAGATTCAGATGCGGAAACGAGACCAAAGCAAGGGAATACTGGAAAAAAGAGGGGGGAAAAAGATGCAGGCTATGCAGAAGGAAAGAAGCAGATCTAAGACGTGTAATAGAAGAATGTGAAATAACGGGAGGACCAAAGGACATAGGAAAAACGCTAAACGAGACTGGAGAAGGTTTAACAGAACTGGAAGCAATAATAGAGAAGAGAAGGAGAAACGACAAGGAGGAGGCACAACAAGGAGGCTAAGGACCAAAGTGGCAGTAGTTTTTTTAGTCATTAGTTGATAATTTATAGTTCCTAATGTTTAGTTTTTAGAGGTAGAATAAGCAAGGTAGTGCAATAGAATAGAGTGGAGGTGGTGAACAACAACAACAACAACAACAACAACAACAACAACAACAACAACAACAACAACAACAACAACAACAACAACAACAACAACAACAACAACAACAACAACAACAACAACAACAACAACAACAACAACAACAACAACAACAACAATAATAATAATAATACCAGCAGCTTTATTCGTCGGATCTTCATTCTCTTTCGATTTTTGTTCGCTGTCAATCAACTGGACTTTGCGATTGCATATTTAGAAAATCATACGTAGCATTAAAAATAACGAAGAAACGTGTTACTATTTCGAAGATTCGCGACGCAACAAGATCCAATTCGTTGCGATTCGATCGATCGATTGTAAAACGACGCGAAACCTCGTTACATCGTCGAATTTGTTTTTGTTAACGCATGTTATGCGCGTTACGCCGGACAGAGAGCCGAATCCGCTTTGTGGATCGGCTGCGAAGTTAAACCGATTTGCAGAAGCGAAATTCACTGGTATTATATGGTCGTTTAGCTCGACACTGTGCGCTAATCCATTTAGGGTAGACATTAGCCGACTTCTCGGCACAATGGAGGATGGGAAGAGCAAGAATTAGACAGTGAACTCGAACTCTGTATCGCATTAAACTACGGAGCAGCCTATTATTCGACGACGTTTTCTTAAGGGATACGCGCCGTCTCTGCGTCTGTTCTCTAACGACCGGATTGCGACGCGTTGCACTTGTCTTCTTGATGCGAATGCTCCGAGTTAAGCTTTTGATGCTACAGTTCTTCTCTTAATTGCACGATTTGTTACGGCTTTCATATAAAATAGGATCTGTATACGATCGCTCATCGATTCGGAATAAATAAACTGTTTCGACGTTTATGCAAATTCAAGCTTTTATGGATGCAATTGCAAAAATAGAATCTATGCAGTGGTTTATTTCACTCATTAAACGTTACAATTAGATTTTCATTTGTTTCTATGGATTAAGAAAGATAGAAAAATAACATCGAAGGGTGGAAAACTCGGAGCGAAGTAAAGCTTTCAATAATTCGTCTATGTAAAGGTCTACTATACAATTTGAAGAATGGATTTTACGTTCTTTTTAGAATCCGGTTCTTCTTAGAATGATATTAAGTTTAATCATCGTTAAGGATAAAATATTAAATGTTTGCACAGAAAACGTTCACTTACATCACTCGCATAGAATTCTACAAAGGAAATTACAGTAGCTAACCAAAGGGTTTTCCAAACCCTCGTTACCTTAACTTGTCCCTAGTTAAACCACATTAAAAAGTTGTTCGGTTGATTCTACTACTCGTTGATTTTCCCTCCTTCTGCTTTAACGTAACTTTTGCTGCTTCAATTTTTATCGCTTCGACAAGCCCCCTTATGATACTTTCTGTCTGATAACTCTCTGTCACGAGAATTACAAAACCGATATCCGAAAATTCGAAACTCATCGCATTATCTAACAAAGTAATTACTTTTCGAGTCCATTAAGGCAGCAGAACAATTTCTCATCAGCATTTTCCTACCTTAGACACTCACCACGTCGCAATTTCTCAACGAAAGGTTTCTTAAGACCCGAGCATCTTTCTTTCTGCCTTTTCCTTTCTTCGTAACGACCCATAATTGCGAGGTAAAACCAAATACTGTTGGGTCAAGAATTATTTTCTTTCGCTCTTTCGACGTCACACGAACGTTTTTCAACACGTGGACTAGTCGGAAGCTCGCAAAATATTCACGACGAAGATTCGACGCCCACAAAGCGTCGGAAAACTTGAAACGTTCGAATTTCGTCGATGTTTCAGAGCTTCGGCGAAAGTTTTTCGAATGGTTATGTTCCTTCGCGAACGCAAACCGACGTTTCCAAGGGAAAACTGTTTCCATCTCTGAACAGAACCATCCTGACTGATCCCAGCAGAAAGTAACGAGAATTGAAGGAGGAACGAAAGAATACTTTTACTGGAAATAAGCAAGCCGCTTGCTTTCAGACGTGTAAGAAATTGACCTTCTGTACTTAGATCTACTGTCACGAGATTTTTCTCTCAGAAATTATTTTCTGGTACGCTTTCGAAATCGACGAGTAAAGAATGAATTTTCTTATGAAAACGAATGTAAATTCTATGTAGAATATGGTGACAAGCGTTATAAATATAGAAAATTGTAATCGAAGATCACCGAGGAAAATATGATAAATCAATATTTGATGATTTACCAATTTTTTAAGGACTTTACTACGAGATACAGTCAGCCACGAAAATCTACATACATGTCTTATAATATAAAATATCATAATAAAAACGTTAGCTTTGATGACATTCTGCTATTTTCCTGGTATTGAACAGATTAAACGTTTTGTAATTTCTCGTGTAATTTTAACCCGAGATTTTTACGAGTTACGTGTTCAATTTTAAAAGTTTCTTTTAGGAATACATTGGTAACAATTACATCGATATGCAAGCATAAATAATTTCGTAACAAAGCGCGTTTTTTAATTTCTTTGGTAAGTCGAACACGCAAAATTTCGTAAATTTATGTGGACTCACGTGACCGATTGTACGCTGTACGTTTAACCACGCTAAATCGAAACGCGTCGCGAAGAAAATTGACAGATCGAGCTATCCGCAATTTCTTTCGAGTAAAAAGCTTCGTTTCGCTGCGAAATATTGCATCGTAATTTCCTTCGCGAACTTTCAGGGTTGCGCGCCTCGTTTAAGGTCTTCGTCGAGGGAAATTTATGAATTTACGTAATGTCTTCTTCTGGACGACGATTGGAGCAGACCTATTCTCCGCTTGTCGTTTCTTCTTGTTTTTCTTTCCCCTTTAACCTCGTCGCGAGGAAATTGATCTCGCTAAAACTCGTCGGAAAAACACGAAATGGTCGCTGTTGAAATAAAGCACGCGCTCGAGGTTACGACGACGGTTGTGATACAGAAGTCGTTTAAACGGTCTGCTGAAACTCTTGCAACTTCTGGAACTCGATTTGTAGCGAACGTTTGTTGGTATTTTCGGAAATTAACCGAGTGAACGATCGTTAACATTTTCCAAAAACGATTTGTCGGAAACTTTCGAGGAATTTCCCGACATTGATTTGTTGATAAACCACGATGGCATTCTTGGCTAATTAATAAAGGAGAAGTTTGCAAATACTCGAAATTGGTTTGCGATCAAGTTCATCGATCTACTCGGAAAGTGATTCTGTTGGAATTTTTGGAAATTGATCTGTGGAACATGCTGTCGAAATTGCTTTCTAACAGGATCTATTGAAATTCTTGAAGATTAATCTGTCGCGAACTTGGCTGAAAACTTTTGAAAATCGATCGAGACCGAAGCCGGCTGTTAAAAGCTAAAATTCTGGTTAGTTAAAAAATTTTAAAACTCGATTTCTTCTAAAAGTATCATATTCTAATATTCTGAAAAATCAATTTATCACTGAACGAAGCTCTATTTAAACGAGTTATGAATATCATTTCCATTAGTCAGTGTTGTATCATATTTTTATTACGTGATATTTACATACCATAAAAATAGAAAATACAGGACATACTATATATTCAATGAAAAGACAATTATATGCAAATATTGCGTTTCTCTACTCGCGTAAATCTAGTTTCTCTGCCGGAATTTACCATCAAATAATTCCTTCGCACGTGCACGTAGCGTAATAGTCGTTTCTTCTCGTATATACGAAATCAAATTTCCATCGCAGCCGGATGTTCGCCGATAAAGAAATTTCCAAATCGCTGAAACGTTCGTAACAGAAACGGCGCGCTCGCGATACGCGTTCTTTGGTCGAGCGTCGGTTCTCGACGCCCTGCTAAATTGGTTACAACGAGGTAGAAGTAGCCTGAATCGGCTCGTTTCATTAAACTGAAAGCAAACCGGGCTGATTCGAGCCACGCAGGTGTCCCAATTAAAAGAAACGTATCCAGTTTACGAATGTTTGCCGAGTTCGAGCAGAGAACGAGATAGACGTTTAATTTCGAACGAGCCGTATCGCGCAGATATTTCGTATTTTTTAACGTTTCACCTTTCCAACGTCACGTTCTCCCACTTTCCCTCTCCTTGCAGTCGCAGTATGCGTTTTATGAAAAAAGCACGAAAGTCGATTTTTCTTCTGAATACCATTCAAAGCGATGAAAATGAAGTCACTCGCACGAATTCCAGTTTCGTTTTTTCATTCTTGCCGCTCTTGTTAATTCAGCGGAAGCCTCCGACGCGTATAACGCAAAACAATTCGCTTTTTTCGCGTGCAATTAGTTAAAACAAGCGAGAAATTACGAGATTACTTGCACAATATTTCTCGATTAGAATCGTCGATTGATTGTTCTTGCAGATGGTGAATTGATAATCAGGAAATTCATTGAAATGGATTAAGTCCGTGAATGCTAGATATGATGAACGTACGTAAAAGTTACGACAACTTCATAGCAAATATACATTTAGTATTATTAGTAAAATTAGTACATAAGTAAAATTAATATGCAGCACAATCATGCCTTTAAACGTATAATTAGTTGCAAAAAAAAAACGATGTAATTTATTGATATAGCGAGTAATCGAGTGTTTGAATATTTTGGTGACTGGCGATAGATGATTTGTACGTTCTACGTATATTTACAGATTCGTTTTTCGTTTAGCCAATATATTAGGTTGTCCGGAAAGTGTCTTTCTTTCGCAAACGTGTCTTTTACAACAGTGCACCTTCATACAAATGTGAAACCAAGTCTATAAAATGTCGCGGTGTTTATCTCAATAGAACGACATGGATCGTACGTAATTCGACGAAATAATATAAAACAAAAAACGTTGTGCGTCTATTATTTCCTCATAAAACGAAAGAAGCTTTTCGGACAACCTAATAACATGAACTTTCGAAACGCTTCGTATAACGCACACAATACACGGTAAGAGCTGGAAAAATTTCGCAAGTAGTTCCATGAATCATATTTTTGAACAAATTCATAATTCGACGACTATACAGAGTAAAATCGTTGTCGAGTTATTCTTACTT